CAAGAAACGAGGTTTCTGAACAAGACACCACCCAGCAAGAAGCCTCTGCAATAAAAATCGCATCTTTCTTCGAATTTGCAGCTGAAAAAAAACACAGAAGATGATGAATGATCAACAACAACAACAACAACAACAACAATCCCACCACACATATGCTGCTGCTGCTTCAACAAAACTTCCATTCTAAAAATTCTAAAGACACAACAAACAACATAAGCTCATAATAAATCCTTGGAACAAACAAAAACGGCTGCCATAACAACAACAACAACAACAACTTGTCTTTAATATCATATCATTTTCAAGCACAGTCAGTCACTTATCAAGAACCCCACAAAAAACCCAGAAAAGAAAATGAGACCCAAAAATGTAACCAAGATTTTATATTATGCGGAGCAGAAGAAAAAGGGGGCACCCTTTTTTTTATTTTTACTTCTATATAGCGGTTATTATCGATTTTTTTTTTTTTTACCAGAATAAAATGATGGCACGGTGAAAAAATGGAATCTGGGTTTGTGGCCGTTGGATGGGAATCGGACGGTGGAGAATGGGTCGAGAATTTGACCGTTGTGGTTCATATGGACTTTGTCGGTGAAATGTAACCGTTGGAAGGAGTTTGGGAGTTGGTCTGTCCCAGGCACGTTTGGTGCACGTGTTCTCTCTGTTTTTGTTTTCTATTTTTATTTTCTTGCTTTATTTTCTTGGGCTTTTTTTTAAAAAAAAAATTTTGTGGGGGACTTGACCGTTGGTTTCTTAAAATCATGGTATGTTTTGGCTTTAGCATGACATTTTCACACTGTTATGTTGAAAAACTGTGTAGTCTTTCGACCCTTCAAATCAACGCAAATACTTAGTTGCGCCTCGGCGCAGGTGTGCCAAGGCAAAAAAAATGAACATGTTTCATTACAAAATGAACATGTGCAACAATGTGTTGCTCATGTTCATTTTGTAATAAAACATGTTCAATTTTTTAGCCCTGGCGCACCTACGCTAGGCACACGGTAGTAGCACTTTCAAATCAATCGTCTTATTACAACTCTATGTTGTTTCACATTTCCTCGAGTTCTTAAAGATTGAATGGACTTCTTTATATGAAGTCATTCGAGTGGCCAGTAATTCGCTCGACCTTCGGTTCATAGAGCTTTGTATAACGTCACGTCATCCTTGTTCATTAATTATCTGCTTAACCTTCGATTCATAGAGCTCTTGTATGATGTCACATCACTTTGGTTCATTGAGTTGTTGTAGTGTTCAATTGATTAAACTAACTCATGCCACAACACAATTTCATCTTTATAATTATATTTTGATTTTAAGTTGTTCATCTGAAAAGTGTTTTAAAAACTTAATTCATATTATGAATTCTTATATTAATCTGAAAAACGTGTATAGTTAATTCGTATTATGAATTCTTATATTAATCTTATATTGAGTGACGTACGTAAGCTATTTGAACCTGAAAAAATTATATATAAAAGATACTTAGAGTCAAATAAACAAGGTGTTATGTTAAATAATTTAATCCAAATATGTAAAAAAATGCTCAAGTCAAATAAAAAGGTGTGAAATTAAATATTTTAATCCAAATAATAACATTCAAGTATTATTCCTTATTCCTCTTTGGATAATAGGTCCAAGTTATGCCTTCGAATGAAAGACAATTCCGAATCCGCTTTGTCTACGAACAAGGAAGCCTAGCTTGCCTCATTATTGCCGAGATAATGGATTACTTCTTCACATTCACCGTGCAATGCATGCAGTTATTGATAGACAAAAGAACCATGGTATACACTTCCGTGTACTAGCTAAGGCGTTACGTATGTCTGATGGAGATCATATTCACTCCGGTACTATAGTAGGTAAACTTGAAGGAACTTTCACGGTAGATGTCTTAATATAGCGATTAAATAATAAATTCACAATCCAATTTAATTTATGCCATCAACATACAAAAATGTAAGTCATTAATTCAATTTTTAGTTGTTATTTTAAAACTCGACTTAATACAAAAGAAATCATTTTTATCACTTTATTCTTTTGATACTTTGGAGTAAAAAGGGTTCCCCGGCATTCTCAATCTGGAGGTTTCACCAATCTTTGATCTCTCCTAAAATGCTAATAAAACTCTTATCCTTCTGATTCATCCAAACATTAGAATACAGTTCAAACGAAAAAAAATCACGAAAAATGCAAGAGATGCAAGAACGCGGTAAAAAACTAGCCCAGCACAAAATTACCACATCAGTACTGCTCGGATTCAAGCATAATTCACTGCATGTACGAAATGTCACAGTTGATTAATTTTCAGTAACAGGCATGAAACTCGATTTAACTCCCAGTCCCAGTGCTTCACAAAATACATACACAACCACAAGCATCATCCGAAGCAGCAGATTAAATAAACTGTTCTCCAAGTCACCTGGGGACCGATGATTATCATATAAAAACCATACCTGGGAATCATCACATATCTGAGAAATAAAATCCTTTTTTTTTTGCCAAGTCATTATATCAACAAACCAAACGCAACAAACCAACTCGCGAATACCGCATCTCAACTCACGTTTAGTTAAAATTAAGAAGAGTTAAGACTGCACCTTCAGAAACTTTACACAGTATAAGCATAAAAAGAAAGCTAGATCAACTCCAGATACAAGGCTTCCTGTTTGCTGGTTAGACCCAAGTCATGAAGAGATGAGGTACTGTCTCCATCACTAAATGCACGCCGAGGATATGGCCTCACCTGACAAAAAAATAATCCAGAGTTTCAAAGGCAAATAACAATTCATTTTCAATCTACACTTATTGTTCTTATAGCAGTCATTTTAATGGATATGTTGCATGCTTGGATATAAGATTTTTTTGGTTTTGTTTGGCTAGTTTTGAGAAAAATGGTATGGCTGTTAGTGGGATATTGAGTTTATATTAAAATAATTAAAATTGATTTAATGTGAAAATAGTAGATATATGATGTAAAGTGATGGTTAGTCAAAATTATACGAGTGGATGAATAGTTGATGAAGACGAGACCGCTATCGCCTTTTTGAATAAATACAACAGGCTTCGAGTTTGTCATTTATTATTAATTTGCTTATTATGTTATTTCTTTTTATTTTACGTAATTAAAATAAATATCTTGCAGTATGTTAGGCAAGATACTAGAATTCTCTTTCCCTATTATTTATTTGTGAGACTACGATGAAGGAGGACAAATTATTATGAATTGAAATTTTTGTTTGTCGTTCTTGAGAAAGTATCTCATCTTATTCCCAATCGTACTACCATCTACATCAGTTGGTATCCAGAGACCAGCGACGATCCACGATGCCGCCCAAGAGAGATAACGTTGATGATCGTTTCCAACGAATGGAAGAGCGATTCCAAGGAGTGGACG